GCTGTGGCTGCGTGTGTGCAGGAGCAGTGGTGGGGGGGTGGGCTGGGGGGCAGCTGGGGTCCTAAGCGCCCTGTCCTCCTGTTGGCTGCACTGGGCTCCTGCATGGTCCCTTGGCGCCCCCTGGAGGCCATGCCTGGCCCTGCGCCTCCCGTTGGATCTTAAGAGTCCATTGGCCGAGCTGCCCTTGAGGGCTGCGCTGTCCCCGACACACGGTGATGGGGGTGGGGGCCTACCTTCGGACCAAGCTGTCCATGTGACAGTTCTTGGGGTTCAGAGGTCCCTCCTGTGTTTCGGGGAGCTTTGGAGCAGGCAAGGCTGGGTCCCCAATGTCACCCTTTTGCCCCATGGGTGTGGGGTACATGTGGCCCCTTGCCCTGCCCCACACCAGGTGTTCTCACTTCAGCTCAGAGGCCCAGAGGAAGGAGCTGGTGAGGGTGGACTTCCAGGGTGGGAGGAAGAGCCAGCCACCAGCCCTGGGAGGGAAGGGGACGGGAGGGGTGGCAGGTGGCCTGAGGGCCAAGGGGTGCAAGGGGGGCACAAGTGGGAGGGTGGCCCCAGGCAACCTAGCTGAGAGGCTCCGGGTGTCTCTGCCCAGGGCCCCCTCCACCCCACTCGGCACTCCTGAACTTTGGAGAGCCCCTAGAGGCCGTGACTGACACCCTTCTCCCAGTTCTGGGGCCTGCTGGCACCTATTGAAGGGTCCCCAGCCCTAGACCTGGGGTGTCGGTCTGGCTGAAGACCTGCTGCCTCCCCTGGCATCTGCCTGCCAGGGCTTTGAACATTCCATCTGTCCTGCCCCCTCGCCTGCCCTCCCCCATGCTGGGACACTGAGTCCCCAGGAAGGGCTGGGCACTGAGAGGGCTTACTCGCCCCAGGAGGTGTCACTTCCCCTTTCGAAGAAATGGGCCAAGGATGGCAACCTTGTGCCAGGCACACTGGAGGCCCTGGCAGGGACTCATGTCCCTCTCCCCCTGCCCCGGGGGTCTGGGCAGCACTCGGGGTGGGCCCTGTGGTGGCCAGGTGGACTGCACCTTCCCTGGCCCTGAGAGGGTGGCCACGGGGACACGGTCCCCCTTCCCTCAACCTGCTGCCTGCTGCAGCCTCGCC